TCCTGGAGTATTGGGGTCACAAAAATATTAATATATCCCCCTCTGTGGATGGTTGGCATGTTATCAGTGGGGTCATGCCCCAGGCATAGCCACTGTTTTGAAGCCTTCCAATTTTGTGCTGCGTTGTTCACCTGAAGCAGACTGTTGTCAAAAATTTACCTTCAGAAAGAGATTAAAACAGATAACAGCAAAATTCTCCTCATAATGCTTTACATTATGCCAGCTTCCTGGATCTCCCTTGGGTTTGTGCCGTAGGGCCAGGTTATAGATGATAAGACACTAATGAGCTGTTATAATTAGATCCTTGTGGATGGAGCCCAAGTTCTACTTAAATTACAGCTTCTATCAAGTCAGATAATGGCTGGAACACTCCAGGACAGGGCTGGGGCTTTGATATTGCCCTTCTCTAAAATATTTATTTATTATTTTAGTTTTTTAAATTATTGTTTGGGTTCAGTGAGAAGGGTAATTTTTTCCCCTATGTTATCGTGCTGTGAAAACTTTTCTTATCTCAGTCATGATAGAAGAAGTATTTGCTGAAATAAGAGTATTCTCATTTGAATCACATAGTCATCATCTGTGTGCTTCCTCTTCATGAATATGGAGGAGATCTTTGCTTATATTTTCTATCTTGAAATGCAACTTTGCAGAACATGATTCAACTCTAGGCCCATGAACTGCTCCACCTTCAGCATTTTCTAATGGCATCATAGTCTACCTTGCTGCTTAAACAGAAACCTCAGTTCATCTTGCTTACTTCCCTCTTCTTCATCCTCTACACCCAATTAGTTACCAAATCCTACTGATTCTACATCTTAAATTCACCCAATTCTCCTTCATTATCACTAAGCTTTTCCAGATCCCTCATTTTCTCATGGCCAGTTTGTGTTTTGGCTGATCATCCAATTCTGGACTCTCGCATACTTCCCGACTAGAACGACCTCTGAATTGCTGGATCCCAACATTTTTTTCTTTTCTTTTCTTTTTTTTTTTTTTTTTAGCAAAAACTATCTTTTCTGCCTTTTTAAGTTAAAAACCAAACCAAAACAAAAAAGAAATCAAAGACTATCCCAAGAGAGTAATTGTTCTCTGGACTCTCAAAGGTCAAGAGAAACAGGCCACTTCCATTTAAGTTTCAAAGCATATTAAAAAAATGAGGAAATGCCAAAATAAGTTATAAAATTTTAGTGTGTTATAACTATGCACTTAAGAATTAATAATTTTAGCATGAGGAAACTATGCCATGTAGTTATGTCTTTCACAAGATGACTGGAAGATTTATTAAAATACCAATTCCTTGTACTTTATAGGTGGTATTTTTTGGATATGGGGAACACCTTTATGTTAATGTGATGAGCATACCTATAACATAATTTAGGAAAGCATTTGTCTGCAAACAACCAAAGACATAAGAATGTAATAAGTAGGTTTTCATACATCTCACATCTAGGAATCTGCCTATTTATTGTAATTGCATATGGGCCGATTCATCCCAAGGGAACCAGTCTCATTCATTTTTCTATTTCTAGAGCCCAGAATGGAACCTGGCATATTGAGGAAAATCAAAATGTGTCTGTTCAATGAATGGGCTTCCCATGTGGTGCAGTGGTAAAGAATCTGCCTGCCAATGCAGGAGACGCAGGAGATATGGATTTGCTTTCTGGGCTGAGACAATCCCCTGGAGGAGGAAGTGGCAACCCACTCCAGTATTCTTGCCTGGAAAATTCCAGGACATAGGAGCCTGGCCGGCTACAGTCCATAGGGTCACAAAGAGTCAGACCACGACTAAGCCATTGAGCACGCACACACATACTGAATAAGTAAATGAAAGAAGGAAGGGACATGGGGAGGGAGTTTATTGTAAGGCTTCGCTTAGGTCAAATTTAAGAAAACAGGCTTCCGCTATTATCTCCCTCCTAGAACCAGAACTTAGTTAACATAGGACCAGACCTTCATTAATAGGTCCAGATCGTCTCGAGATATGTGTTGAGGACTTCTAAGCAGCTTTCGGGAAAGGCTGTCATGCATTTCAGGAGTTTGAGGGCTCTATTTTCTGCCCTTCATGTGCTTTACTTTTCTCCTGATTGATGCAGAAGCAGTTTGGTTGTGGGACACCCCCCAAGAGGCCAGCTGTGACCATGGTCATTAAAAGGGTTGTTTTCAGGACTTCTCTGGTGGCTCAGTGATTAAGAGTCTACCTACCAATTCAGGATTCATGGGTTCGATCCCAGGTCCAGGAAGATCCCAGATACCATGGAGCAGCTAAGCCCATGGGCCACGACTATTTAGCCTGTGTTCTAGAGCCCGGGAGCTGCAGCTCCCGAGCCCATGTGCGCAGTGAGAAGCCTGCACACCACAAGTAGAGGGTAGCCCCGCACTCACCGCAGCTAGAAAAAAGCCCAGCAATGAAGACCCAGCACAGCCAAAAATTAATAAATTTTTTTTAAAAGTTAAAAAAAAGATTGTTTTTGGATTCATGTGTGCCCTTGGTGAAGGTTCAGGAATCCTTGTGAGATGCTCCCTTCTGTGTCTGAGGTTCTTTTGATCTTAACTGCAGCCTTCAGGCCCAGTAAACTGTGGTGATTTCTTATGTTGTGGGCTGTGGATGGCTGGTCAGGGAGACATTCCTGTGAGCATATGGACCTGTTCTCTACCCCACCCATCACATGCATTTTACTTTACCTGAAACTGCTCCTTATTCCTCCATGCACACCTCCTCACGCCCCATAATGAATCTTTGCATGAATTACAAACATATCCTTCTTCTGCATGGATGGGGTAGGAAAAGCCAACCCCCTCTGCATCGACACAGTTCCGTGGGCTCATGACTTGGAGACCTGACATTATATCTGAGCAAAGATAAAGGTTTTCTTTCCTCTGAGGAGAGCGTAACCACTGACCAATGGTAACTCGGTAAAGATAATAGTCATGCCCTCAGTCTCTAAAAAAATTACTTGCTCATAGACTTTTAAACTAATAATCATTTTTATTATTTATTTTAAATATTTATTTGTATTCTTATTCATTTTAATTTTAGAATATTTTTAGATTTATAGAGAATTTGCAAAGATGGTACAAAGAGTTCCCATATACCCCCTTTCAGTTTCCCCTATTATTAAGCTCTTATATGAGTATGGTATGTTTGTCACAATTAATGAACCAAAATTGATAATACATTATTATTAACTAATGTACATGCTTGATTGAAATTTCCTTAGTTTTTCCTAATATCCTTTCTGAGTTCCAGGAGCTGGTCAGGATACCACATTTAGTTATTTAGAACCTAATCTTCTTAGGTTCTTCTAGGTTGTTACAGTTTTTCAGACTTTCCTTGTATTTTGATAACCTTGCTAGTTTTGAGGAATACTGGTCAGATGTTTTGCTGAATGTCTCTCAGTTGAGATTTGTCTGATGTTTTCCCTATAACTAGATTGTTTTAATAGCTTTTATGATTATTTAGGTATGGCAAGGCCAGAGGATGACTGCCATTGAAAAGATAATTTGTTAGTCTTCACAGATCCCCCGAGAGGGAGTACATGTTATACCACAGAGGCCACGCTGGAAGCACTGGGGTTGGCATGAGGCAGAGGGAGGAAGGAACGCTGGGCAAGGGTCTTTATGTAGTTTCTGCAGTAAGGAATGGTTCTGCCGGGTAAGCAGGCTTAGGATTGGCTAGTCTGAATAATTTCAGTGGGCTCTGGGGCATAGGGACTGTCCCTAGCTGTCTGGTACCTGTCTAGCGTCATCAGGGCAGGTGGATAGTAGCTCAGGTCATGGAGGCTTGGTAAGGGAAGTGTCGGGCTGTGGACTCTGGTTTGGTTGGTTTGTATCTGAAAAGCATGCCCCCGGGAAGGGGACTCTTCTTGGAGAATTGGGGTGGGGGGAGATGAGGGAGGGAGGAGGCCAAGGCAGGGTGACTCAGGGATGTGATCTGGTTTTCCAGAACAGAGCATGTCTGGGATATGTGTGTAACACAGGTGTTTTACAGAACAGTCTACAGAAGCTAGACACACACTTGATACATGGGGTTCTATATTGTGGGGAGAAAGACTATGGGGGTAAAGTGCCATTTCCATCCCATCATATCAAGGGTACCTGGTGTTGGTATAACTTATCATTGTTGATGTTGACCTTGACTACCCGGCTGATCAGACCCTAATTTGTGGCACTGTACCTCTTCATGTCTGCCTTTAATGTTCATCTCATATGTTTGGAGTGTTTCTAGGGTAGGATATTGATTAACATTCAGTGTAGTTTTCCTTGAGTCTTGCTTGAGCTTTCAGAGGAATGAACCTGCCTATAGTGGGTTCTGGTTCTCTTTGGGGTGGGTGTCTCTACAGAATAGAGTCTTGAAACTTGGGTTTTAGGCAAGATAAATTCGTGGGGAGACTTGTGTCTGAACATCCTGCAGGCATGCATGCTAAGTTGCTTCAGTTGTGTTCAACTCTTTGTGACCCCATGGACTGTAGGCTCCTCTGTCCATAGGATTCTCCAGGCAAAAATACTGGAGTGGGTTGCCATGCTCTTCTCCAGAGGATCTTCCCGACCCAGGGACTGAACCTGCGTCTGTTACGTCTCCTGCATTGGCCGGCGGTTCTTTACCAGTAGTGCCACCTGAGAAGATGTTTGAACATCCTACTCTTCTCTAAAATGGTAGTCCTTTGTATACTTGCAATTGCTGAATAAACATATCAGTGAATACTGACAACTCTCAGGAGTTGAGTTGATTACCACTGAAATGTAATAGAATATGTATTTGTAATACTTAGCTGTGCGTTAAGATACTCAAGAGGATGAACCTATTTTTGTATATAAATTTGAAAAATCCTGGTTACTCCATAAGTTGCCTGACTAAAATCTTTTGGAGCCCCGATGTTGGTGGAGATCATGAAAAATATGTCTGTTCCTGCTCTGCTTTTGAAGATCCTGAGTTGGGCAAGGCAAGACAGGGAGTTGGTTGGTAACTCACCTGCACCCCTTTTTTTCCCCTCGTGCTTCAGGGTCTAAGTCGCAGAACTGTCTCTGGAACTCCCTCATTGACGGGCTCACGGGGAATGTCAAGGAGAAGCCACGGCCGACGATTGTCCATGACCCCCGGCCACCTGAGGAAATCCTTGCTGATGAACTGCCTCCGCTCGATAGCCCGGAAGCCTTGGTGAAAACGTCCTTCAGGTTTGGTGGATTGCAACTCAGTTTGTTCCTTCTTGTTTGCGTGTGGAGTGATTTCAGTCCAGTTGGATGCATCGTCAGCATGCCAGAAAATTACCTCCTTTCTTTGCACTTACTTAGAACTGATGAGGTGGTGTTGGAATTAGTGCTCACTGGACTTGTGGCTGGATTTCCTGAATGTAGTGAGGACTGTATCAGTAGTTAAGTTGCTGTTGGTACTTAATTGGTATTGGCATTTAAATGCTGAGGCAGAGAATTTACTGATATTGGCAATTTGAATGGGATTAATGAGTCTTTTGCTTCAAAGGAGGTTGAAGCATGGAGATAAGCACGCAGAGAAAAAGCGCGTGGTGGGAATGAATTCAGCTGGGTGCCTTTAGCGTCCCTTGCTGGGGGAAGGTTTCTGATTGTGAGCGATGTGAGGGCTGCGGGCTCCTGAAGTGAAGTGGGGATCTTCTTGTGTGGTTTCCCAGGTGGCTGCTGACTCTGTTCTTATTCATCATTTAGTTTTGCCTCTTCTCTTAAGCCTCTTGTGTTTTTCTGTCTTATTGTATTCCACTTTTGTCACAATGGCTCTCTTTACTGTGTCACCTGTATTAAATAAAAATCGGTCTGAGCATGGATGTGGTATAGAAGTGATTTTTTTTTTCCTCAGTGGGTCTTTTCAACTCGCTTCTGAAATACATAGTCATACTGCTATCAGAAATGAAGATTTAATGATTTTGCCAGCCTGCCTTCCTTCCCCCCTTCCCTTGTTATCCTAATTTTACTGCTTTCATTTTTCTTTGCATTGTGTAAGACTTTCATATCCTCCACATGGCTAGTAGAATGCATGAACTTCCCTTTTCTTCCCTCATAGACAAATCAGACAAGATTTGGAGTCCAGGAAATATATTTGAAAACTGTGCTCTCCTTTGCATGCAGGTGATGTATGTAATCATCCAGTAAAAGCCATTTCATTGTGCGAAGGTTCTTAGTGTGGATTGAATTATGGATGAGTTCTGAAAAGGAGTGATGAATAGGGGGTTGGACTTCTTTATATAACGTGACTGATGCAGTGGCGGGACTAGAATTGCAAGGCAAACGCTTTTCTTATTCCTCATAAGGGTTTGGTTACTGCATTGTGAGTTTTAAATAAAATAAAACCCACTCAAGTAGAGGGAATGAACCTGCAATTCTCTGCAAGTGACTGTGGGGGAAGAGGGGAGGGTGAATGGTCTTGTGGTCTGTGTGTTCCCATCTCCAAGCATCTCTGGTGGAGTCAGCCCCTTCGTATACTGTCTTCTAGTAGCTATGCCTTCCACCCCAAGCCAGGTTCATGGTCTTCTTCAATGAATAGCTGAAGAGTTGCTCTCATGAAGAGAACATCTTGTTTGCTAACCCAACTCCATTACCATCATCCCTTCTCTTTGCATCCCCTCCGGTCTCTTTAATAGAGAAACTGTACTGACGGCCATGAACGTCTTTTGATCCACTAGTTATATTATGTGCCAAGGTCTCAGTTCCAGAAAGAGATTAAGTTCTAAGTTTGTTAAGATCAAGATTTACTTCTGGTTCCTTGTAGTGCTTTGGTGTGGTAGGCACATTTACACAGCAGGTGTAAATATGTCAGTTCTTCAGCAGTCGGAGCCAGAAAGGTATTGGCATTTGTTATTCATTTATTGGTCTCCTTAATACAACTCTGTGCTATCCTGAAGCCATCCTTTCTTTCAAGGAAGATAGTTGATTCCAACAGCCATGTTAGAAGGTAAATATTCTCTAATGTAGTGGTCCTTAACTGTGGTAGTCACGTCAGTTGTGAGATTTGTTGCAGCTAAATTATTATAAGCCAACGGTGGGAACAGCTTGCTTATTGAGAAATAAATTTGAGCAGGATCAAGGTTACCCTTGTAATAATGCTGCTTGCTTTCTGTACGCCTTTGGATTTCAGAGAAGGAGTGAGTTATAGCTGGATTGTAAATAATGCTGATAGGAATATATCCCTGTGTGTTCCCCCACCTCACCATTTACTCCAGGAGTGAAAAAACGTGAGAATTGCTGACTCCAATGTTAGTGAATCTGGGAAATCTAGGAAGACTGGTGTGTTATACTCCTAAACTTCAGGGTTGCATCCATGATCGGTACTCTCAACCCTAAGATAACTTAAGTATAGTCATTCCTTTGCTGAGATTGAGGTGTTGGGTTCTTTTTTCTGACTCTGAAATTCAGAGCCTCTCAATCACCATGACTTGTGTGTATATGTGTGTGTGTGCTTTGGACACACTTAGACACAACCGCACACCCAGTTAAGGGATCCAGGCATGTGACTGTGAACATCCTGCCCAGTTCTGCAGAGGTGTGTTTATTGTGGAGGAGCGTGTGGTTCTCATGAGTTGGCATCATCTGCCCTCATAGCTTCCCTGCAGGAGTGTTATCACCGAGCAACACGGGGTAAGGGGTAACTTTGCTTACTCTCTTCTCTTTCTCCTTCTTCACACATGGAGGGCATTTGGAAATTTGGGGCCACAAAATACGGTCATTTTTTTTTCTGCCTGGGCAAGGAAATGCCTGTTTATCAGTGCTGGAGTTGTCCCTCGGGGAATCAGACCAAGGGACCCTCATTGGGCCCCTGACACTCAGCTACTTCCTTCCACAGGAGATGCTCTGTCCCACGGGCACCTCTTCCATCAGCCTCTGTAACGAGTGTACGTGGTAGGTGGGGGCATCCTCCCCAGGCAGCGGCTGGGGCCACACCTGCAGGCAGTGGTTGGCAGCCGTCTCCTGCTCCTCCACGCCTTTGAGTGATACACACAGTGTGAATTATTATCAGACTTGGGTTTTGTGGCTCCAGGTGCAGACACTGTGGGCTCTGAAAGCTCATGAAGCCTCTGGCATGAAAAAGTCTGCTTTTAAGACCGAGACTTAGGAGAAGAAGAAAGCGGGAACCATAACTAAATAAAAAGACGGCATTGTTTGGGAAGTAGACACTCCTGGGAACTGTACCCCAGATGCCTGTCTTCCTTGTTCCTCACCCCTTGTGCCTTTGAACCTTGCTCTCCTCAGGGTTTTCTTAAAAGAGATGAGAGAATATGCTGAAACTGGAGCTTAAGGAAGACAGACTGGTCCATCCAGTCTGATTAGTGACAGGAACCTCAGGAATTACTACCAGAGGACCCAAGAGAACAGGATAGAGCTGGCTGCTGAGCATCCTTTTTCTCCCCAGCTTCTAGTGTGCATATTTGCAAAGGTGGGACCTGGCCCAGATTGTACTGAAAGTCAAGGAAACCAATGTTTATTGGGCATCAACTGTGTCTAGGAACCGTACATTTGTCTGCTCATTTAATCTTCTCAAATACAGACAAGGTGAGTTTTGCTATTCCAGTTGTACAGGTCATGAAACTGAGTCTTAGAGAGATCAATTAACTTACCCAGAGTCATCCAGTAGGAGGCAGAGCTGGAAATTTCAATCCAGTCTGCCTGGTTCCAAAGCCTTACCCTCTCCAATGTGTTTTACTATCACCACGTCACGTTGACTTTCCTGCTTCTGGGTTTGCTGTTCGTGAAATAAAGATGGCATGATTGGCTCTACTAATTTGGATATGCAATTTGGATATGTAGTGAGGCTTATCCTATGAGACTGACCCTGTTCTATTGCACTAAATCCTTTTTCTAGTCCAAATTTATATTTTTAGTCCACTTATTCTTCTTGGGTAGGAGCCCTTTAAGACAAACTTTGTGTCCAACAAATTCCTTGAGGAATCTTATTAAATGCAGATCCACATTCATTAGATCTGGGTTGTAGCCTGTGAATCTATCAAGCTCCCAAGTTATGTGATGGTCCAAGAATCACCCTCTGAGGAGTGAGGCATGGACTTTGGAATACCACAGGCATGAATTTGCACACTGTCTTCTAAACTATGTGATTTGAGTTATGGTTTTGATTCTCAGTTGCCTTATTTTACAAATGGAAACAGTGAAATAACAACATAATGGCCTTGGGCCCTATAGCTAGGATTAAGTGAATGATGAATAAGACAGACCCTAATTCCTTCTCTCTCCCAGTTTTCAAAACCCTCTTTAGGAGTGGATTGATCCTCCACACCTTGACTCCTTCTTCTGTGACTGGACTGTGCAGTGAGCCCCAGGCTGGGAATATGGGCCTAATAGGTACTTTGTGAGCAAGACTAGCCACTGGTCTTGCCTTTGTGGGCAGTAGTGGAAATTCTGAAGTCAACCAGTGCATTGGCCATCTCAGTTATTAGTGCTTACCTTGAATTATGTGACTCAACATAGGCAGAGTTGCTGGGTTTGGGGAATTTTGCATTTGGAAGAAGAGCATGTTCACTCCCTGGAGAATCACTGGGGGCTTGATGAGCTTCTCTTCCCACATTGAATGGACTTATTTGGGTTCTGGCAAAAGTGTTGCTGATACTATACATAGCTTATTGAGAATATGTTCCAGAGAGCAGAATTACATTGAGCCAACACCCTTGGCCACAGATGAGATTAAGGCCTTGTCAGATCCCATTTAATGGATTACGTTTTCATTGCAGAATTACATTTTTGAACTCATCCTCATTCCGGCTTTTGGCAGTCATTTTTCCACCAGGGCCTGTGGCCAAGAAGCCAGTTTCTGACTTGATTACTTTCAGGAAATGTGCAATCTGGTTGGTGATACAGTGTGGCATGGGGTAGCGTCCCCTGTAGCTTTGGACCCCACCCTGGGATGAGTCATGGGTTAAAATTCCCAATTAGCTCATAGGAAGTCTGCTCACATGTCTTTCTCTATCACCATATGTTGGTCACCCACTGGGAACTTCGGGGACCCCAACTTCTGTGACTTGTGCTCCCTCCTGGGAGTTGACATTTTTCTTCTCTAGTCTTCACTAATCCTAAGCAGTAGACTCTTGCTCAGTCTGTAAAGGGGAAAAATGAAAGAATGAATTCTGATTTTTTTTTTTTTTTAACTCAGTAGAGTTTCTGTTGCAACTTTGCCTTCCCACAAGGGAAATATTGATATTTAGGCTTTTCTTTATAAGCAAGTTTTTATACACAATTTTTTCAGTGTTGGAAATTGACAAAGCATATATTATGTAGACACTTCCATCTGCATTCTCCCTAGTCCTTGCATTGGTATTTGG